AATGAGAGTCTCAAGAAAACACCTAAGTCAATTAATTTCGCGTCGGCTAGATGAAAGACCTGGCGTTAAGAATTCACTTATATTATAAATTTGTTGCAAATAATTTCTTTCTAAGCCATTAATTAGCGACAACTCTAAAAAACAGAAGATCCTTTAAGGCAGCCTCGGCCTCTTCTGAACTTTAAATGATTCCTGAGCAAAAATTTTCGTTTAACTCAAAAATAAAAGTCCTAGATCGTTTTTACAAAGGCCATTTTCGTTATTCCATTTGAGATTAAAAAGTGGCTGACTGCAATTCTGAAGGTGTTGGCCTATTGCAGATATGGCTGACGGTGGTTCCCGCAAAATACCTGTAGGCAGATTTTAGGTCAAATTATAAAATGAAGAGTACTTTCATCTGATTCAGCTTTAAGCCGAAATGTCATACTAAGACTTAAAGTCCTAATTCAGGCCATCGAAGGAGCTGCAAGGAATTATAGACCAGTCACATAACCGGACCAAAATGGACGTATTCGAACTCCCCACATTTTGCCGTCAGTATCCTAAAATTTACTATTGTTCGTTTTCGCATATGATAGTTTGACCTTCTCATCCGACGATATCCATCGCGTGCTTCACGGCAAGGCGAAGCAGACACGGTAAGTTGCGCAGCATTGACCGCAATCTCTCCACCTCAACTGGGGCCGCTGTAAAGACGGAGACAAAAAGGACCGAAGGTGAGGGAGGGCGCAGGTGGCTGGCCGGGCGAACTCGCACCCAGGTGTGCCAGCACACCCCTGGTCTACTTCAAACACTTGACCAGGATTTTAACCAACAAGAACAAGAGAAAAGGCGTGAGGGACCAGACAGCCATGCAAATGACCTGTATAGACAGGGGGAGTGTGAGCGCATCTACCGGTGGGGAATCAGTTGCCAGAGAACTGCCAGCACAAACCAGACTGCAAGGTCCACGGTTTGCATCATCGAATCTGAAGTTGGTTGGCTCGACAGAGAGCCGACGACCCCAAACAGGTCTTCGGGTTTCGACCACACTACCGGATTCTGGGTTATCGTCCAGTAAATAACGAAAATCTGGAGATCTTAATAGCCCATTTTAGAATTTTACTTGGTCTCAATTTCATCTTCCTGCAAAGACCGGTAGTTGTGCCAGGTTCTCCTTTATCCGCAGGAATCACAGGGCGCAAACTCCGCAACTACTAGTATTTAAGCTCAAAGCCAGGTGGTCCACTCTCGGACGTCGGTTCCTATCTCGCAAGCAACAGCAGTTTAGGTTAAATTCTATTCGTTCCATTGGCATTCGACTGACCTATTGGACTCCCAATGTCCGTATCTGTCGTTTAAGAATGCCTTAGTGTTGCTAGCTTTTTTTCCTGACTTTCTCCGCTGTAGGCTCCCCCCACGGGCATATGCCCTCCGTCCTTGCCAACGTCAGGTTTGGGATCACTTAGTAATCCCTTTTACGGTCAATGGGAGTCTGGTAAATTCTGAGGGACCAGGTCGTGTATGTCAAGCGTGGGCGGGCAGTTCACTTTTGTAATTCATTACGAATGAAGGCGAAATCTTGAGTTCCAGGTGTATGCATAAGTGAAGAAGAAGAGTCGAGCACAGGAGCACCTCGTTTATTGTCCTGAGCTTTCAGACTCGTACAGGAGTCCATCGTCAGAGGTAGCAGCAGCCGCAGCGGCAGAACAAGCGACAGTTATAAGGCACGTAGGACCAATCATCGATCGACGTCGCACGACTGGAGGTGAATACGCAGGGCTCTGTACGTCGGCGCCAGATCGATAAATCGATTGACCGAGTTCTCATCCGAGGCCCAGGCTTCAATCAATCGCCGGCCTGTTTTCTTTCCGGCGTGGGCGACTATTTTGGTGGCTGCGAGGTCAAACTCGTGACCCATTTCGTAGGTGTGGGCGGCCACTTGTGATAATGCGTCGCCTCGCCGCACAGCCAGCTTATGCTCGTGTATGCGCGATCCGAGCATGCGTCCAGTCTGTCCTGTGTAGTTACAAGGACAATTTTGACACGGAATGCGATACACTACTCCAGATTGCTCATCAGGTTTTTTACCGGTCTTTGATTTTCATGACCCTGTTCCGCATGGTGGCTTTGAGGCTTGCCGCTTGTCCTGTTTCTGCCACTACCTCTGATGATGGACTCCTGTACGAGTCTGAAAGCTCAGGACAATAAACGGATTGTTCCGGTGCTCGACTCTTCTTCTTCACTTATGCAAGTCATTACGTCTGAATCCACTTCCGGTCGTCCTGATACTATCATACTACCAGAGCCAGGCGGGTGAGGGAAGAATGATTGCGGTGTGCAGACAGAATCAAGGAGAGCGTAAACGGGATCGGGTGCAATGATTATCAAAGCTAAACAGTCGGTCTTTGCGTGCCATGCATGATTTGTTCGAGCACGATGGATCAATGTTTTCATAGAGCCATATGGGGGCGGCTCTGAGTCCACATGAGGGGGTGTGCTCGAGAGGTCATCTTAAAAAGGAACAATTGAGCTGATTCTTAGTCTACCAGTTAGTCAGTCCACATAAACATCAGGCTGGGTACGATGTATGATTGCAGCTGTCAGTTGGCCACATTCTGATCCACGGCTTATAGGATACGGTGATAGCATAGAAGCGCGTCAGCGTTACTCTAGGTAATAAAGGCTGAGTACTATATGCAGTATTCTTCAGAGTCAACATCACTCTTTCTCCCTTGCCCCAATGCGTCCTTCATAGTCGACCTCATTCTTTCCTCCTTCCCAAATGCTAACACTGTCCAGGCAAGTCAGTCATCCAATGCAAGGATTGGGCACAGATGGCTGGCGCGGTGTTAGCCTGGGCCTAGGCGTGCCGAAAATCACCATGGGTTTTATTTACTATGGCCGCGCAGCCTGAATAACGCATGCTGTGACCTAATCTGGCCCCAGCGATGAACAAGTGCATGGGGAGCGGAGATCGTCGCCGAGGCATAGACAAACAAACACGGCCGTGACCGACGATGTCCACCGTATGCTCCACAGCAAGGT